ATGCTATAACTGTATGTTTTGTATCCCCCATGACTACAGACACTGGGGAAACGCTCGACACAGCTCTGAGAAGCTACATCAAACGCTAACATGCAGCCGGGCCGGTGCGTAGCAAGGAACAGCCGGCGACCTGCCACTGACAACCGACCCAGCCATCACCCGCCCCCCTCGCTCTCCACATTCAATGAGAGACAGACAACAACACAGTTGTGCGGGGCGCTGGTAGGGGCGTCCGCGGCCATGGAGGGAGCATTTAAGTCCCTGGCGGCACCGGGAAATGTTTGTTCCCTTGGACTGTCGGCGTTCAGCAGTGAAAACTATTTTGAATCTGCTGGGGACTCGCATGCTATTAAGTGTATAATCTGCGACATGTTCGTAGTTGTCACGGGGAAAGGTCTGATGGATATTTGTGAAAAATCTATTGAACTTGATGCAGCTAAATAAATAATTATTACTCTTCATGAAGAAATTAAACATTTGACCAAGCGCCTTGAACTGAATAAGGATTCCATGAGACTATCGACATCTTTAAATGCTTCCTATCAAAACATCCAAGAGGATCATAATGGGACCTTTCTGGACTATGATCAATTTCCGCCACTGCACCCCTCTACTAGCTTGAACCAGAAAATGGCTACTCACTGTTCGACTCCAGGTGAGCGTTAATGGATGCGTGTCGGAACCAGAAAAAAGGAGAAGAATAGTTCTCGGCGCGCCGCACTTCTTCCCCCGCGTCCGGACTTAAGACTTTCAAATCGCTTTGAGCCCCTGTACCAGCTGTCTTCTGCCGGGGACTTGGGTGTTCCCTCCATGGCTGTGGATGTCCCTCCAGCTACCTCTCCCTGTCCTAGTCAATCAACTGCCTGAGCACATCCTGGAAGACACAATGTAAGTAACCTAATTGATGTCCCTCTTACTGCCCTGAATGCCTCTGCTGATCCTACAGCTATTATATGCAGTAATCATATGCCTATGAACCAGAGTTATACTGTTAGTACTGAGGTGGTGTGCCCAAGCAGGAAGTCCACTGTGTGCAGCTCACCCTGCACTGACATAAATAACTAGAGCTGTCATCCTTTTCTCTCTCTCTCACCCTCCCTCTCTCTGACAGAACCAGGCAATGCGGCTCAGATTGGTGTGAAATCGCCGCTTAACAGGCGGAAAATGGCCTTTGTTATTTTTGGAACAGCAAGTCATGGCAGATCATCAGACCATCATCCTCTCTTTAATGAGCAGGTGATGGAGGCAGAGGGGCTGGGGGGAGGACAAACACAGGAAGATGCACTTAGGAATGAGAAAGTAATGAAGGGGGGGGGGGGGGGGGGGGGGGGGCGGAAACAGAGAGAAAGGTTGAGAGAGAAGGAAGAAAGACAGGAGGAAGACAGGAGCCAGAAGGAGAAGAGGACAGGAGGCTAGGTTATGACTTAGATACCAGTAGAATGAGCAAATACCAGTAGAATGAGCAGAAACCAAACTAGGCCCAACCAGACTCAAGAGGAATAGGAATCTGTAGAGTTTGTGTGTGTTTGTGTGTTAGTGAGGCTCGGGTTAACTCATAAGGAAGATTCAATATTGTGTGGATTAAAAGGGCGGGTGGGTCGCGTGTGGGTTGAGTAAAGAGAAAACAATACATAAAAACAAATCCATAGATGCATCATTATTGTGCCATTTATATCTGTAGGCTACATTGACGTTTTTCTTTCATTCTTTTTTTTTCCACTTCAGGGCCTAACTTTACGCACGCAAAATAGCCTACACTCTAATCGCCAAATGCTTTTGGGAACGGGCAGAAAAAGTTAATGTCATCCACTGAGGCAAAAAGGACCATGCCGGAGTTTAATTCTCCAAGAGAAAAGGTGTGAAATGGAGAGTTGAAAATTATGAGAAGGGAGGGCCAGAAAAGTAGGCTAATGTTTGCGAAAGATTTGGTGAAGTGGTAAAAGAGGATGATGATAGCATTGGTGGCTATGTTGTGTGATGATTGTGAGGTGCTATAGAAATTCTACAGTCACAAGACAGAGACTTCAAACAGGCCTAAGGCAGTTCAAGGGAACTGTAGCATACTGTTCAGATGAAATGTAAACTGAAATATGGACACTGACTTTAGGGCTATAACCTCTCACATAGCCATAATATTAACTCCTGCAGAATTATGTATTTCTTGCAGTAAAATTATACACCAAATGTACATTTTGACTTAGGAACAATATTTATTTGAGCATCTTGAGAGAATGTGAATGGCCAGTTACCCAGCTAGCAATGAGGAATGGACCTTCTTCCGGGGGGCCGGAACTGATTGCCCGGAATCAAAATGAATGACTGCACAGAATCGGGGGGGGGGGGGGGGGGGGGGGGGGCAAAATCAACTTACGCGCGATGGAGGACGCACGCGCGCGATCTGGTTAGCATGTTACATGCTGACCAGACCGCGTGCGCATATTGATTTTGTCCACCCACACCAGACGCAATCAGGACACGCAGGTTGAAATATCAAAACGAACTCTGAACCGACTATATTAATTTGGAGACAGGTCGAAAAGCATTTAACATTTGTCAATTTAGCTAGCTAGCTTGCTGTTGCTAGCTAATTTGTCCTGGGATATAAACATTGGGTTGTTATTTTACCTGAAATGCACAAGGTAATCTATTCTGACAATTAATCCACAGATAAAAGTGTAAACAGAGTTTGTTTCTAGTAATGGCTTCTTCTTCAGAGTTTATATGGCGGTTGGCAACCAACTTTAAGGTGCATTACCACCACCAACTGGACTGGAGTGTGGACCTCAGTTCGTCTTTCAATCACCCACGTGGGTATATGCTCCTAAAAACCAATGAGGAGATGGGAGAGGCGGGACTTGCAGCGCGTCACAAATAAAAACCAAGTTCTTTTTTAGTGCCTAGCCATGCAGACGATCGTTGACGCGCGCGAGCAGTGTGGGTGCAATGATTGAATAACATGTTTGCTGTGTGGTCAGCATGTTAGACCGCTGCGCCACTCGGGAGGCCCCATTAATGCTGATCAATTTCCTTGCACAAAGTATCAAAATACTACTTAAACAGGAAAGACTCTTAAATAATTTTATTTAAATGTTAATTTTATTTTTTGATCACAGACGAGAAAATATGGAAAAATAAATAAATAATGAAATGTTAATTATATAAAGCAGCCCCTGTAATCAATGCCAGAGTAGCCACAATCGGCTGATCGAACCCCAAGTAATACATTTGGGCCAGATAACTCACACCGGAATCGGCCCGAGCTCAATCCCCGCATCCTAGCCATAAGTAATAATGCCGAAGGCGGCCCAGACTCGGGCCACATGACGTCGGCCGAGTATGACTCTCAGTGGAGTGCCCCGACTCTCAGCCGGAATCGGCCCAGATCCACTGTGCTAGCTGGGTAGTGATGCGATCTTTATCATTTACGTAATTTAGCAGACACCCGATAAGAGCGACTTTCAGGAGCAATACGAGTTAAGTGCCTTGCTCAAGAGCACATCAACAGGTTTTTCACCTAGTCGGCTCAGGTCAACTAGATTGAATCATTCATTCTATTGATGTATGACATTCTGGTGAGAAAGGCTTTATTTAGTCTTCTCGAGCAGCATATGATGACAGAAGAGAAGCTGCATGTATCTAATTATAGACCATTGACTAACAAAATCGAGAGCTTGGGACTATAGCATTTCAGCTTCTACATCTGCATTGCTTACTGTTTGGGGTTTTAGGCTTGGTTTCTGTATAGCACTTTGACATCTGCTGATGTAAAAAGGGCTTTATAAATCCATTTGATTCTGTCTGCAAAAACATGATTGAGATAATAGGCTTTAAAGTTCCAACCCCTAATTGGTTTGAATGGTGTCAGCAATTTTTATATTTACATTTTAGTCATTTAGCAGACGCTCTTATCCAGAGCGACTTACAGTTAGTGAATACATATTTTTTATATACTGGCCCCCCGTGGGAAACGAACCCACAACCCTGGCGTTGCAAACGCCATGCTCTATCAACTGAGCTACATCCCTGCCGGCCATTCCCTCCCCTACCCTGGACGACGCTGGGGCAATTGTGCGCCGCCCATGAGTCTCCCGGTCGCGGCCGGCGGCGACAGAGCCCGGATTCGAACCAGGATCTCTAGTGGCACAGTTAGCACTGCGATGCAGTGCCTTAGACCACTGCGCCACTCAGGAGTACTAAAATACTACTATATTGTATTCTTTTGACTGTATCAACATTAAATTGGGGTATTTAGAGTAGGCTACTATATAGGTAGACACCAATGAACAGAACAAGGCTACGTCAATAACTAATTTTGGGCTAAAATGCAGATAGAACCTTACAGTCCCAGCTCTTGAAATAGCCTACCAAAATATCGGAAATTATAAGCAGAATGATATCTAAATTACGGAGGGGAAAATCCTGCACCCACTGTCAAAACATCGTTCCGCCATCTCCGACTGTAGCCTACAGCGCATTTTCTATATTTGAGGGTTAGGTTTGGTTCGGATCTCAGATTTCCACTTTATCACATATAGTCGGCGGCTGCAGATGTATAACTGACACGCGCACCACTAATGTGTGTGTGTGTGTGTGAGATACTGAAGACTGGGTGGTGAGCTAGCTGACAAGGTCGGGATTGGGTTGTGTCAGGCTACAGCCGGAAGAGTCAACTAGAATCCCATCAACTCTTGGAGGTGCATATCTCCCCTGACAGTCACAAGCTGGCTGGAACACCCCCACTGCACAGAAACAGCATATACATCACCCAAACACTGTGTATTGCGCCATTAATGACTTAATCATTCCAGACGGGGCTATTTTAGTGCGTATTTATGACGTTATAGTTGCCTTCTCGTGAAAAAAATACTCTTAGGGCGAAAAAATAAGGCCTAGTTGATTCATTTAGACTTCATTTTGAGCATATTGATACAGCCTAGCTGAAAAAACTGCACAGTTCAAATAGAGTATTGTCTTGCGCCTCACAGTATGTCAACCCAGAGGGGTTGGGTTAAATGCGGAAGACTAATTTCAGTTGAATGCATTCAATTGTACAACTGACTTCCCAAACACCGTCAATGTCAAATATCGATTTTATCATATATCAGCCCAACCCTAACACACACACGTCACCCAAACAGTGTGTATGTCTCTCAGTCTCACACCCACACAGTGGATGATGCGGACTGAAGCGTGGGTTTGTACATCATTTCATTTGACAGTTCCAGAGCGTACCATGACACACGGTGACCACCAACTGCTGGACACACAATTTCATACATGCCATGCAGGCAAAAACACACAGAAAGAGCGCGATTTTAAAAAGCAACAGCATTTGGTATTTCCCTTTGTTCTTAAAACAGTCTAATAAAATATGATAACATAAACATGATCCTCTGCAATAACACACAGAGACGGACACACAGCATCACTAGACATTTTTTTTATCATAACCTCAACTCCAACCCTGACCCAGTCATCCTGAAGGCACAGACACATCAATGAACACTCATATACTACAAGTCAAAGTAAAGTGGGACCAGGCTTCAGAACCACTCAAACTGACCAAAATAGTTGTTAATGTATTATCAGGTAGGTTATTGAGAACCCATTCTCTTTTACAATGAACTGGCAATTAGATGCATCAGCTAGGAGTAAATCAGGGATTTTCCCATGCTCTGTAGACAGACAATAACAAATATAGCTAAACACTGCCCACTACTGCCAGCACACACACCTGATTTAAAAAGCATCTACGGTCGGATATGAACCTTCCACATTTTATATATCATATTTTTAATATGATAAAAGTACCATCTAACGTGCAACGACCACCATGATCTAATGCATTGATATTGGATGAATATGCCTATGCAAAGGGAAAAGGAATCATTGTGCTTGAGATAGCGGACTACATGTCATAATTGTGACTTATTCTTTTGACATGATATGGGTTTTCATATTACGCAATAACACAAATCCAGAGTGGTAGCCTAGGGAGTGTGGGGTATTGTCAGCACAGTGTTTTTTCTATAGCATACATTACATTCACAAAACTGGGGTGTATTCATTAGGAACCAAATGGCTGAAACGAGCAGCGACTAACCTGAAATTGTCCAATAAGAAACGATTGTTTTCAATGCAGAACGTTAACTGTTGCTAAATGTTTTACCCTAATGAATACACCCCTGAGCACACCCATCCAGCATTTGAGTCCGGTCTGTGTAAACTGCACTATGGCTCGACCCAGGGAAGTCAGGGCTCATTGTCGTGTCGTGCCAGTGCAGGGGGCAGGGTGGTCCCACAGGGGCCGTGGAAGTGGAACCTGCAACACACAGAGAGACAGGTGTTAAAGGATGTTATAGGGAATCATTACTATGAAGCGACAGCAGTGTTTCCCAATCCTGGTCCTGGGGTCCCAAAGGGGTGCACATTGTTGTTTTTGCCCCAACACACCTGGTTCAAGTAACCCAAGGCTTGATGATGAATTGATTAGTTGATTCAAGTGTGTTATTGCTGGGCAAAAAAAGCACCCCTTTGGGTCCCCGGGACTAGGAGAAACTGGACAACAGTATGTGTATAACCTGAAGCGCATGGTGGCGGGTGTTTCCTCCATGTTAAATTCAGCTACTGGTATTCCTCTAGCCGCCACCTGGGGAGCAAACATGGCTGCTGGGTACACTATGGAGGACGTACCTACCTATAACACAAGAGGAAGATGCACATATCATCTTGTGATTTCTTTTTATTTATATTGTTGAGAAATCTCTGCAGGGTCTCAAAAAGAAAAATCACATATAAATTACACAAAGAAAGACAGAACACACAAACACCCGGACAGACAGACAGACATGCATTCCCTCACCACTAGGCAGAGGTCACAGAGGTCTAGTTCCTCTTCAACGCGAGTCAGGATGTCGGAGTCCAGAGTCTCCCCGAACCAGACCACATTAGGCCTGAGCAGACCACTACAGTCACCCTGCTCACACCTGGTGAGGCAGACACAGTTAGACCACTTCAACACGTTCCCAACATGACAATCTACAACAATTAATATGATTGTGATCAACTGCCATCTAAAAAGGTGAAGATATGAACAAACTCAAGACAAGAAATCTTACATTTCTATACAAGATGTAACCGAGTTTGTCCCACCCATAGAGACCCTATTAAGTTACTTTGACTAAGTATTCTAATTCATAATGCTATGGTCCCACCTGGGTAGATCATGAGGCGGGATCTGAGCATCACTGGTGTTGGGGTCTGGAGCACTAGAGAGAGCAAGCGAGAGAGAGAGATGGCAATAAATACTGTTACTGTATAGTTACATGTAACAACACCAAGGAATTGCTGACCTGAGTTTGACTGTGACTTACCCTTTGCCCTCCAGGGCATCACAGATGGGGCTCTTGTGGTTAACCCCAACATGACCACAGCTCATACAGCAGGTTTTAAACAAACTGCCTGTGGTCACAGAGAGAGAGTAAGAAAGAAAATATGACCACAACTAATATAGCCTGGTCACAAAGACAAAAGAGGAGAGCTTATGTGGGTTTTTGTCGAGCAAAACGACATACGTAGTTTGTACAATACGTCGAGATGTGGCCTATTAAAGAATGTGAAACAATGCTGCGTGTGTCTCCTGCTTTTCATTAAATCATGTACGGACGTTTTTTAGGCTATGGCCTAAAATATTCATTCAAATGGGCAGAATATTATATCCTACAGAAATTTGATCAGTTATGGAAACAGGCGACAGTATATGCAAAAATATTCAGATATAGTAAAAGGTCGACATTTGATCACGACTATAGAAATGGAAACAATTGAGATTTTCGAAACACAAAGTAACAATTACTGAGCTCTCACCATCATCACCATCATTATTCACAATCAATCAAGTCACATGCACAATTATCAGCTTTTTAAATTATGAATCATCAGAGTCATTATTATCGGCAGATGGGCTTCACTTACGTCCTTCGCCCTGTCTAGTGCATAGAAATGAACTAAACCAAACATTTGCTGTGTTACAGTCTACCGCCGATAAAGGGTTAACTGGGGTATAGCGTAATGTGTTACAATCTACCGCCCGTAAAGGGTTAGCTAAGGTATAGTGCATGGCCTTTGGACTTATTCATAAAATAAATCAAGTTTCCTTGATACGAAGTTTCCTCCGGTACCATTTTCATTCCCCGCACCACACTCACACCCAGCAGCATCCACCAGTCACACACAAAATAAGAATACACTTCAATAAAACTTTGCTCTACTGACAAACATCAGTAAACTGACCAGACTATCATATTATATGGAGCAGTACATCCTTATTCTACTGAGGCTTTGATTAAAATTGCTTTCTCTGAGCAGGCCCTGATATCAAAGGCACATCTTATCTTTAACCCAAACACCAGATGTGCTTGGGAGGTATATGCTACAGCTATTTAGGTCAGAGGCGTTGTGCTTTGATGTGCTGTTTTATTAGATTTTTAAAGCTACTTTTGCTGCCTGCTTGAGTGATTTGAGATGGCAGGGAGATTAATGCATCATGGCTCTATACATTACTGTCCGTTGCCTAGTATTATTTTTGGCTTTAGGGACTATGAAGATACCTTTAGTTGCATGTAGAGCCTGACCGATATTAGCCTTTTACCAATTTATTTCTATCGGCATTTAAACCACCAAAAAGGTCCAATATAAGATGTGGAGAAAAAGCACTGGAAAAAAAGCAGTTAATAGATTGACTTTCTTTGCATTTCATTATTTGTCCTAAAGAGGGTGCTCTTTACATAGCTATAAGCCTACAGTGCCTTCTGAAAATATTCATACCCCTTGACTTATTTCACATTTTGTTGTGTTACAGCCTGTTTTAATTAACGGACAACATTTATTGATAATCTCATTTACATACAGTACCAGTCAAAAGTTTGGACACACCTACTCATTCAAGGGTTTTTCTTAATTTTTAAAATGTTCTACATTGTAGAATAATAGTGAAGACATCAAAACTATGGAAATGGCACATATGGAATCATGTAGTAATCAAAAAAAGTGTTAAACAAATCAAAATATATTTTTTATTTTAGATTCTTCAAAGTAGCCACCCTTTGTCTTGATGACAGCTTTGTACACTCTTGCCATTCTCTCAACAAGCTTCATGAGGTAGTCACCTGGAATGCATTTCAATTAACAGGTGTGCCTTCTTAAAAGTTCATTTGTGGAATTGATTTCCTTCTTAATGCGTTTGAGCCAATCAGTTGTGTTGTGACAAGGTAGGGGTGGTATACAGAAGATAGCCCTATTTGGTAAGTCCATATTATGGCAAGAACAGCTCAAATAAGCAAAGAGAAATGACAGTCCATCATTACTTTAAGACATGAAGGTCAGTACGGAAGATTTCAAGAACTTTAAAAGTTTCTTCAAGTGCAGTCGCAAAACTATCAATCGCTATGATGAAACTGGCTCTAATGTGGACCCCACAGGAAAGGAAGAACCAAAGTTACCTCTGCTGCAGAGGATAAGTTCATTAGAGTTACCAGCCTCAGAAATCGAAGCCCAAATAAATGCTTCACATAGTTCAAGTAACATACACACCTCAAAATCAACTGTTCAGAGGAGACTGCGTGAATCAGGCCTTCGTGGTCAAATTGCTGCTAAGAAACTACTACTAAAGGACACCAATAAAAAGAAGATACTTTCCTGTGCCAAGAAACACGAGCAATGGACATTAGACAGGTGGAATCTGTCCTTTGGTCTGATGAGTCCAAATTTGAGAATTTTGGTTCCAACCGCCGTGTCTTTGTGAGATGCAGAGTAGGTTAACGGATGATGCCCGCATGTGTGGTTCCCACCGTGAAGCATGGAGGAGGTGGTGTGATGGTGTGGGGGTACTTTGCTGATGACACTGTCTGTGATTTATTTAGAATTCAAGGCACACTTCACCAGCATGTCTACCACAGCATTCTGCAGCAATACGCCATCCCATTTGGTTTGCGCTTAGTGGGACTATCATTTGTTTCTCAACAGGACAATGACCCAAGAAGGAGAGTGATGGAGTGCTGCATCAGATGACCTGGCCTCCACAATCACCCAACCTCAACCCAATTGAGATGGTTTTGGATGAATTGGACCGCAGAGTGAAGGAAAAGCAGCCAACAAGTGCTCAGCATATGTGGGAACTCCTTCAAGACTGTTGGAAAAGCATTCCAGGTGAAGCTGGTTGAGAGAATGCCAAGACTGTGCAAAGCTGTCAAGGCAAAGGGTGGCTACTTTGAAGAATCTAAAATATATATTTAACACTTCTTTGGTTACTACATGATTCCATATGTGTTATTTCATAGTGTTGATGTCTTCACTATTATTCTACAATGTAGAAAATAGTAAAAATAAAGAAAAACCCTTGAATGAGTAGATGTGTCGAAACTTTTGACTGGTACTGTATATAGAGTGCATTCGGAAAGTATTCAGACCCCTTGACTTTGTCCACATTTTGTTTTACGTTACAGCCTTATGCTAAAATTGATTACGGTAAATAAATAAAAATCCTCATCAATCTACATACAACACCCCATAATGACAAAGTGAAAACAGAAATACCTTATTTACATAAGTATTCAGACCTTTTGCTATGAGACTCAAAATTGAGCTCAGGTGCATCCTGTTTCCATTGATCATCCTTGAGATGTTTCTACAACTTGATTGGAATCCACCTGGGGTAAATTCAATTGATTGGACATGATTTGGAAAGCCACACACCTGTCTATATAAGGTCCCACAGTTGACAGTGCATGTCAGAGCAAAAACCAAGCCATGATGTCAAAAGAATTGTCCGCAGAGCGCCGAGACAGGATTGTGTCGAGGCACAGATCTGGGGAAGGGTACCAAAAAATGTCTGCAGCATTGAAGGTCCCCAAGAACACAGTGGCCTCCATCATTCTTAAATGGTAGAAGTTTGGAGCCACCAAGACTCTTCCTAGAGCTGGCAGCCCGGCCAAACTGAGCAATCGGGGGAGAAGGGCCTTGGTCAGGGAGGTGACCAAGAACCCGATGGTCACTCTGACAGAGCTCCAGAGTTCCTCCGTGGAGATGGGCAAACCTTCCAGAAGGATGACCATCTTTGCAGCACTCCACCAATCAGGCCTTTATTGTAGAGTGGCCAGACGGAAGCCACTCCTCAGTAAAAGGCACATGACAACCCGTTTGGCTCCTAAAGGACTCTCAGACCATGATAAAAAATATTATATGGTCTGATGAAACCAAGATTGAACTCTTTGGCCTGAATGTCAATAATATGCCATTTAGCAGACGCTTTTATCCAAAGCGACTTACAGTCATGCGTGCATAAATTTTTACATATGGGTGGTCCCGGGGATCGAATCCACTACCCTGGCGTTACAAGCGCCATGCTCTACCAATTGAGCTACAGAGGACCACGTCTGGAGGAAACCTGCCACCATCCTTACGGTGAAGCATGGTGGTGGCAGCATCATGCTGTGGGGATGTTTTACAGCAGCAGCGACTGGGAGACTAGTCAGGATTGAGGGAAAGATGAATGGAGCAAAGTACAGGGAGATCCTTGATGAAAACCTGCTCCAGAGCGCTCAGGACCTCAGACTAGGGGGCGAAGGTTCACCTTCCAACAGGACAATGACCCTAAGCACACAGTCAAGACAACACAGGAGTGGCTTCGGGACAAGTCTCAATGTCCTTGAGAAATTGAATAATATGTCCCTGAATAAAGGGGGGGTCAAATAGCCACCCTTTGCCTTGATGACAGCTTTGCACACTCTTGGCTCTCATCAAGGTAAAGTGTGGCTATTTGAAGAATCTCAAATATAAAATATATTTTGATTTGTTTAACACTTTTTTGGTTACTACATGATTCCATATGTGTTATTTCATAGTTTTGATGTCTGTATATGGTCGTTGTCCGCGGTTCTGAAACATAATCTTCAGCGCGTCGTAGAATTGGCACCTTTCCCTATGTTGCTATGTGCATAATAGCTAAATTAACCAGCATATTGGGATTGAGAACAATGCGGCGGAGGCAGCAGAGATGAGGAAACAGCCCTTGCCTTAAGCCCTATTCGAACAGAATTAGTTTTACTGGGGGTGGTCATGTAATGTAATTATGTGCAAAAGCACAAAACACCATATCTGTCCAGTCCAAAAAATGTCAGTAATTTGTACATGGCAGCAGTGTAACAATTTCAGCCAGAATATCCTACTGTTTTTTGTCGAACTCCAAGGTCCTCTGACAATACTAGTCCCGTGCGAATCGGCATCCCTGTGTTTTGAGAGAAATGTCTGAGTTTGACAGGTGTTGCTCACGGTTTGAGCAAGAAAACAATAATTGAATTGATAAATTGCATGAAGTGCTTCGCATAGCCTATATATGAAGGGCCTACATCTATCAACTTTCACAGTGAATGCTTTTGTTCATATGTTTTGTGCGTATTCATTGAATATTGCCAAATGCATCAGCCAAAAATATTGCGCATATTTAATGTCATCCTTGCTGTTAATAGATTGCAAAGCAGCATACAACTGACGTAAACGTTTGGAAATGATAAGTTCACTTTCGCATCCCTAGCCTTAAAACACATCTCAAGTGCACTGTTTGGCTCACATCCGAAGGCTGGGGGGGAATTTAGGTAATCTACTGTGGATCGCTAAAATATCCAAAGGATTATGATCACACTTCCTCAATTCAAATATTATGTCGACACTATATCAAAAGATGGTTTGGTATGGTTTAGAGACTTGGGAACCAAGCACGAGTTATCAGTGTAGCCCTGTTATTGCCTGGACTTGTTGAATTATCTTCACGGCTAGAAAAAAATCTCCAGGCTGCTGTCATAACTGTCAATTTATTGGAAAAATAGAAAGAATTACCGTTGGGAAAAAACGAATCCCGTCCGAATCGTCCTCTGGAATAACGGATATTCTGGGGTAACAATTACCTAACCAACGTTATCTAGTAATACTAGTTCCGTGCGAATAGGGCTTAGCCTAATTGAGGAGAGAGCAAACCAACTTAATTAGGTCTATAATCAAATGCTTAACTTAAATGTGCCTGGCTTTATAAATCATCCATATAAGACAGATCTTGCTTCTATTGCCTGATTGGGTGTTTGTTTAATAGCCTACTGATTCCATGAGCACCAACCCTCATGCAACAGCAAAATGTTGGATAAAGCAATAATAAAGGCTTAACAATTGTTTTTCATTAGAACAGACTGGTATTAAATTATAATTTATTTAGTGTTGTTTACACTGTTCCAAACAGGCAGAAAATGTATATTGTAATCTAACAGCACCGGTTTGTCACACATAATACGCAAGCAGCTCTCGCTCCTATACCCTCCTTTTTCTAGATCTCCTTCTTGTTATTATTACAATTATTATTAAGATCATCATTATAATAATAAGTAATGTCGTTATTATTAGTAGGCTTTGTATAGTAGCCTTGTATAACCACCATCGAGCTGTAGGCCTAAGAGCGCGTCCTGTTAAGTCTTAATACCGTAACTTAGGGAATGTTTATCCTAAACAAATTAGGGATTTCGGTAACAGAACTTTTCAGTCAGAAACGAGTAAGAAACTAAATGGCTGAAATGATGTTGCAGGTTCAGCATGGACAGCGCAATAAACACTTGCTGTGCTGTGGTGCCTTTTCGCTGCAGTAGGGAGGAGAGACAGACAACATGCGCCAGTCACACAGGCACTCGCTGTCATTTTTTAAAACGCGGTGTGACCATTGGCTCTTCTTTTAGTCATTTGTGTGTCTTAATTATTTAATCAAACAGTGTGCTTAAAGTATCACACAAGCTCAGTGCAGATGTAGTTGCTTTTATTCAAACACATAAGGTGTGTCTCTATATATGGAAAAATATATTTAAACTCTCGGTTGACCAAGATCTTTTTTGGGGTCGGGAACAGCCGCAGTCTGAAAGCTTGTATGGTATATCTACAGCCCAGTGTGAGTACCCAGGATGGATTGACTATTACACAATGGAGTGAAACTGGCCTTAAACAATCTTCTCTAAATCTACACTTTAATAACAACATGAGTCCCCCAATACAACTACTAGCTAGTCAGACACAGGTTCCGTCCCAAATGGCACCTATTCCCTATAGTGCACTAGAAGATGACACCACCTGTAGGGCTTTGGTCAAAGGTAGTGCACTACATAGGGGATAGGGTGCCATTTGGGACGCACACACAGTGAAAGTCACATTGCATTATTACCGTGGATCTACTAGCTAACTAGTCAGGACAGTGAAAGTCAGTCTGAGTGACATTGCCGTGGTTACAGTACCGTGTATCTCCAAGATGTTGGTGGATCCGGCTCGGCGATGCAGCTCATCGATGTTCTGGGTGATGACGGTGACGCGGCGCCCCTGTTTCTGCAGCCTGGCCTCACACTCTGCTATGGCCATATGAGCAGAGTTGGGGCTCTTCGTCAGCATCAACTCCCTGCGGTAGTGGTAGAACTCCCATACCCTGGACGGGTTCTGACTGAACGCACCAGGGGTGGCCAGGTCCTGATTGGGGGGGGGGAGGACAAAGTGAGGTAAAAAAAAACAGAGTGATGGAGAAAAGGGGGAAGTGAGAGAGAGAAACAAGGAAAGAAAAAAGGAGAGAGGTGCAAGATAGGGGATGGAGAGGGTGGAAGAGTAGTGCACTATAAAGGGAATAGGGTGCCATTTAGGATGCACAATGGGGTGCGTTTACCTGGGCTTGCCATTTCCTCCAGAAGCCTCCTTCTCCTCTGAAGGTTGGGACCCCACTCTCAGCACTAACCCCTGATCCCGTCAAGATTGCCACATGTTTGGCTTTAGAGAACACCTCTCGGAACGCTGCTAGGTCTGAAAACACACAGACAGACACACAGACAGACAAAAAAGTAAAGCACACAGCAGAAGGTGTGCGTCTGTGTGGTCGTCTTCTTCTGTCCTAAAAGTCCCCACAACGATAGTAAAACATGGAAGATTTTCCCTCGTTAGGACATTTCCCACATCTCCACGAGGACAAAGGCTATTTCAAGCTAAGGGGTTAGGTTTAGGGTTAGGCGTTGGGGTTAGCTTTAGGGGTTAAGTGTAGAAGTTAGAGAAATTAGGATTTTGAATGGAAATCAATTTTAGGTCGCAACGAGGATAGAAAAACAAGTGTGTGTACTAGACTACCACAGTCCTACCTGAGCTGGGTCTGGCCATGTCCTGTCTGTTCTGGGTCCGGGGCGCTTTAAATCGGGCACACAGATGAGAGGTGACGCCTCTGCTGGTGAACTGACGTACAATCATCAGGGTTAACGACCTCAGGGCTGAAGAAGAAGAACAAGTAGCAGATGATAAGATGGCTGCGCTGAGGAGGGTGCGCGTCTTACCAGTTCCTGCTCGACATAGCTTTTTTTTATGGCTATTTTTGTGTTATTACTTTGTTTGCTCAGAATGCTGATGCAATAATTTCCTACAACCGACAAACACTTCTGGATCATGAGTCGGAAGCTACACACTTCTCTCAGCCTCCCAGACCTGAAATACTACATTCACTCCTTTGTTCCCCGCACAGCGGGCTTACCTGACGAAGAAAAGGGGATTCCAAACTAGGCTGAAAAGACGGGCTACACGGCCTCCTCATCCTAGTATTCTGCTGGCTAATAGGCTTGGGTGGTATACCTTATATACCGTATTCCAGGGTAACTTGGAAAAAGCCACAGGATGGTTTTTCAATAAATGTGAATATTTGTTGCAACTTTTTAAGTTAATACCTGCAGTCAACTTGAGCAATTCTTTAGGCGATAAAGCAGATTGCTTACACTTGTATGCAATTCACTACTAAATGTTCGCCATCAGACATCTTATAATGGCTTTTTGCCAGAAATCAAAGAGCTCTGATGAGTTGTCTGTACAGCTGCCATTTCTTCCCTGTGCTTCCTACTAGCGTTTAATTTTCTCTTCCATTCTTCTCCCCTCTGCTCTGTGTACACATGCTGCTCTTCCTTTAGAAAAGCATGCATCACAACGTTGTTCATTTGCACAATTTCCCTAATTCACTTTCGCTTGTAAAATGTCCACACTCACCGAAAATAACATTTCGGTAGCTACTAGCTATGCTTGAATAACTTGATGAGCTGGATTTGCCTGTCTTTGCAATTAGTTGGTTTGTTTTCACTCATTAGCATTAAGTTAGCAGCATTTATGTGATTTCGCTATCATACTGAACAAAAATATAAATGCAACATGTAAAGTGTTGGTCCAATGTTTCATGAGCTGAAATTAAAGATCCCAAATATTTTCCAAACGCACAAAAAACTGATTTCTCTCATTTTGTGCATACATTTGTTTACATCCCTGTTAGTATGCATTTCTCCTTTGCCAAGATAATCCATCCACCTGACAGGTGTGGCATATCAAGAAGCTGATTAAACCGAATAATAATTACAAAGGTGCACCTTGTGTTGGGGGAAATACACTTTGTGAACTTAGAGCAAGGCTTCAATCCATTTTCCGTATGAATCGAACGGCGGCTTATGGATCGAACGGAGGGATGTTTCCTCAACAATTCCTGGTGTACCGAAGTTGAAAACATCTTGAGCTCCTGTTCACCCGACCTGGCATTTCTGATGCTAAAATGCCGACCCCACTACTCACGTGTGTTATTATCACAGCTGTGTACATACTGCAACAAGCAAATACCAAGGCAGAACTCAGCGGACTGTGTAAGATCATTAGCCAGTAAGAATCGTCACACACGGAAGCAGTCTTTATTGTTGCGGGTTATTTTAACCAAGCACGTTTAAAACACATTTTCCCTAACTATCACCAACATGTATCCTGCACCACAAGAAAAAAAAATGTGCTGGACTATGTATATACAAACATCTGTGAAGCGTACAAAGCCATCCCACACCCCCACTTCGGCCAATCAGATCACGTCTCTCTGTGCCTACAAGCAGCAACTCAAGAGGGAGCCACCAACACAGAGAATAGTGAGGCGCTGGACAGAGGAGGCAGAAACAACGCTGCAGGACTGTTTTGAGAATACTGATTGGAATATTTTCAAAGATTCATCCACCCAGGACTCATCCATCAACATTGAGGAATATACATCGTCAGTCACAGGCTTCATTAAGAAATGTGTTGATGATGTTGTACTCACAATAACAATCCGGACATACCCCAACCAAAAAATCTGGATGAATGGAGATATCCGTACCATGCCGAGAGCCCGTACTGCAGCATTCAATGTCAGCAGAACAAACCCTGATGACTCGGAGGCAAGCAAGTACAAGCTCCGCAAATCCATTAGGGACGGAAAAAGTACAATATAGACTCAAACTTGAAATGATATTTGATAATTCAAACTCACGACGCATGTGGCATGGACTACAGACTATCACGAACTACAAAGGCAAATCCAGCTGTGTGGTGCCTACAGAAGCCTCCCTCCCAGACGAGCTTAACTCATTCTATGCTCACTTCGAGGCAGACAATACCAAGCCATCCAGAAAGACTCTTGCTGCTCCGGATGACCAGGTGCGTTCACTCGCCGAGGCTGACGTGAGTAAAACTCTCAAAAGAGTGAACTCACAAAGCAGCCGACCCAGATGGCATTTCTGGCCGCGTCGTCAGTGTGTGCTGCTGACCAGCTGGCAGGCGTCTTCTCTGACATCTTCAACATGTCCCTGTCCCAGGCTGTAGTCCCCTCCTGCTTCAAGGAGACAACCATTGTCCCAGTGCCTAAGCAAAACATGCCCAAATGACTAATCGCCCCAACGCACTCACCACTGTCATCATGAAGTGCTTGGAGAGGCTGGTCATGACCCACAGCAAGGCCAGCATGCCAGGCACACAGGACCCACTCCAATTTGCCTACCGTTCCAACAGATCCATAGAAGATGCCATTTCCATCGCTATTCACATGACCGTCACACATCTGGACAATAGGAACACCTATGTGAGAATGCTGCTCATTGACTACAGTTCAGCATTCAACACCATTGTTCCCTCCAAGCTCGACACCAAGCTCAAAGTCCTGGGTCTGGAAACCACCTTTGCAACTGGATCCTGGAATTCCTGACGAGCAAACCAGACTGGATTGACAACAACACCTCCTCCACACTGACTCTTAACACAGGGCCCCCCCAGGGGTGTGTCCTCAGCCCTCTGCTGTACTCCCTGTTCACCCACAACTGCGTGGCCCGATACCAACTCCATAAGGTTTGCTGACGACGCAACGGTTGTCTGCCTGATAACCAACAACGACGAGTCCGCCTATAGGGAGGAGGTAAGTGAACCGGCATGTGGTGCCAGGACAACAACCTCTTCCTCAACGTCAGCAAAACAAAGGAGTTGATTATTGACTTCAGGAAGCCGAGGAGGGAACATACCCTGATCCACATCAACGGAACTGCAGTAGAGAGAGTCAGTAGTTTAAAGTTCCTCAGCGTCCACATCACCGAGGACTTGACATCGACCAACAACAACACCACTCTTGTCAAGAGGGCGCAACAGCGTCTCTACTTCCTAAGGCTGCTGAAGAAATTTGGCATGCCACCCCGGGTCCTCTCCAAATACTACTGCTGCACCATCGAGAGCATCCTGACCGGTTGAATCACGGCCTGGTATGGAAATTGCTCCATCCACGACCGCACGGCCCTCCAGAGGGTGGTGAAGACGGCCCAGTACATCACGGAGACAATGCTCCAACCCATCCAGGACATCTACTCGAAATGGTGCCTGAGGAAGGCCCGCAGCATCATCAAGGACCCCAGCCACGAGCTGTTCACTCCCTTACCATCAGGCAGACCGTATCAGAGCACGACATCTGACAATAACAGGCTCAGAGACAGTTTCTCTCTACAAGCAATCAGACTGCTGAACACTTGAACTGGACTGACCACCAGCTCAGATTCTCCACACCTTAGCACACATGCACTCACTCACACAAGACATACACAGCCACACATTCATGCTACACACACATCACAACTGCTGCTACCAGACTCTTATTATGATTGCTAAATAATGCACCATTTAAACACTTGACCCCCAATCCCCCCTTCCCCAAAATACATGTCAATATTTGAGTATAAACTGTGCCTTCCTGTACTATACTTAACTTAAAAATGTTTTCTATTCTACTGAACCATTTACTTTATGTTCGTATTCGTATCTTCTATTATTTCTTATTGTTGTTGCATTGTCGAGAAGGAACCTGCAAGTAAGCATTTCGATGGACGGTGTATACCATGTGTACCCTGTACATACGACTAATAAAACGTTAAACTTGAAGATGAAGGACACACATAAAACAAATTAAAGTAATGTCTCAACAGAAACCTATAGCCAATAGAACTCATACTGATGTTGACACAGCAAATGACAGTGAACTCACCTTTCACAGAGGGACAACTACTTTGGGCACGTGACTTCCTCATAGCTCAAAAGAGCAGAGGGGTTCTTGTAACAAAACACCACGCTGAGTTGTCACCCAAATAACTAGCTACTGTAGCTAGAAATCTTGCTTGCTGTAACAACTTGTAAACGTTGATGACATGCGCAGATCTCTCTGGCTAGTCAAAGGGTAAATATTCACTGCAAGCTACTGTAGTTAGCTATCTGATTTTATTTGACCCTTTTAAGAGCGTAAGTGAGCCGTTTGTTTTTAGTCTCGAAAACCAACCCTTAGTCTCGAAAACCAACAGGGTCGCGTTTTCGAGACTATTCGAATGCAACTCAAGAAAGCTTAGCTGTTAGCTAGGTAGCTAAACTTGTTGTTAGTCTTCAAGCGACTATCAGCATGTATATTCCCTTGTTTCGCATATCCAAAGAAGCATTGCCATACACCATTAATATGCCCTGATTAAATACCATAAGCTTTCAGATAGATGTAATCAGATACATTTTGCATGTTGAATTTCTCCAAGTCCTTCCTTACCCTGTTTCGGCTGTTCAGCTAAGAGGTGTGTGTGATTCTAAACGCCTTCTTCTTCTTCTCCTTTGGGATTGGGTTGGTGGATCGAATCCAACTTTAAGGCGCATACACCCTTTAAGGTGCATACACCGCCACCTACTGTACTGAAGTGTGAGGCCAGTCATGGCCTACCTACATTAAATTATCTTAATTATTCCTGTTTCTAAATGGAAAAAAATTGCACCATCAATATACCACTATTTCATAAAAATAAAAATCACCACCCCATTAACTCTACTGCAGTAAAATATTGTACACCCAGGTACTTCTCTGCAGCTGCTACCTACACTCACTAAAACCCACTACCCCATTCCACCACTTTAACCCTATCTGCTCCTGCACCATGCCAACGGTCTGGGAGGACGGGACACCACCCCTCAACACACCGTGTAACTCTTCTGAAGTCAAATCTTGTATACCCAAATACTTCTCTGCAGCTGCCAACACAACATCTATTTTCTGTGACTTACGTTCCATTTCTGCGGTACAGTTTGATAACCATTGCTATGAATGCTAAGAAGCCAACCTTACTGAAACATAAATCACTCGTTGCCCTATCCCTCTGTGCTGGCACAAATCTACTACTCACTGGGATCCTCTGCCTCCTTGTCTTTGTGTGTGATTGTTTATTGTGAGGATAGTGAAGCTCGGTGGAGCTCCTTGTATTTTGTATCGTCTGGTTATTTTCCCTGTGTGCCTTGTTGGTTCCAGTGCGCCTGTTTTGACGCTTTACTGCATAACTCTGTATTCCGGAATAAATCCTATTATTCTGTGATTTACCCTCCTGTGCCTGACTCCTTCAAATCACCCAATCACAGAATCACACACCCACCATGGAGTCAGCAGGAGAGGAGCACATGCCTGGAGCCGTGGCACGGGTCCGGGAGCATTCGAAAATTCTAGCCAGCTTGAGAGAAGCGATGGATCAGGTTCTCCAGGTCGAACAACGCCTGGAGAGGAGAGGACCCGATCTGTCTGGACCACCTGGGCGACCGGATCCAGCCACCCACACCCCAGCACCCAGAGGGATCCATATATCCTGACCACGGGATTTTGACAGGACAGCTGCTCTCTGCCAGGGATTCCTCCTACAACTGGAGCTATATTATTCGAACATCAGCCCGGCCCCATCGGAGCGGGAGAAGGTGTCCGCCCTCGTCTCCTGCCTCTCGGGGAAAGCCCTGGAGTGGGCCAACGCGGTCTGGAGTGAAGGAGCAGCCAACTACGGAGAGTTCACTCGCCTCTTTCGGGCCATCTTTGATCACCCGCCCGAAGGTAGAGAGGCGGGCGAGCAGCTGGTCCACCTGAGGCAGGGGATGAGGACCGCGCAGGACTTCGCCCTGGAGTTTCGGACTCTAGCGGCTGGGTCCGGGTGGAACGAGCGGGCCCTCATCAACCACTTCCGGTGCCATCTACAAGAGGACGTCCGAAGGGAGGTAGCCTGCCGGGACACCATGTTGTCCTTTAATCAACTGGTGGACATGGCCATCAAGTAGGACAACCTGCTGGCTACTAGAGTACGTCCTGGAATGGGCCTACCCATTCCACCCCCCTCTAACCCGGATCACAAGCTGATGGAGCTGGGTGGAGCGGCGATCCGGGAGAGTGGAGGACGACAGCGCCAGTGTCACTCTAGTGGAACGAGAGGACTTTCTCCTGCACGCTGTCGTGGGCGATCTTTTGGGTCTGGAGGCGGCAGGCAGGGCACTCTCGCGTAACCCCAGGTATCGAACACCCACACTCATTCAGAGCCCTCTGCTGCGCACTGTGCCCTACCCATACACTTTCCTGATTACACAGTAGTTCCCCAGTGTAAGGCGCTGGTCGATTCAGGCGCAGCTGGGAACTTTATGGACAGGTCATTTGCACATAGTCTAGGCACTACATTGGTTCCCCTATCAATTCCACTCTCCATCAGAGCACTTAACAGTCGACATCTAGGGTCCGGGTTTGTTAGGGAAGTTACAGCACCAGTCACTATAGTTATGCACGAGACCCGTAGCGAGCAAGTCACCTTTTTTATTATTGAGTCTCCTGATTTCCCTGTTGTGTTAGGTCTTCCCTGGTTAGCTCTACACAACCCCACCTTTTCATGGCCGCAGAGGGATCTCACGGGGTGGGCGCGAGAGTGTCAGGGTAGGTGTCTAGGTGTTTCCGTTGGTGCAACCACGGTGGAAAGTTCAGACACTACCTCCTCCGTGCGCATTCCCCCCGAATACCTCGATTTGGCGCACACGTTTTCTAAAACGCAGGCGACCAAATTACCACCTCATCGGGCGAGGGATTGCATGATAAACCTCCGGGTAGATGCTGTGCCTCCCAGGAGTCATGTGTATCCCCTGTCGCAGGCTGAAATGGAGGCAATGGAGACATACGTCTCTGAGTCCCTGCGTTAGGGGTTCATACGTCCCTCCACTTCTCCCGCCTCCTCGAGTTTCTTGTTTGTGAAGAAGAAAGACGGAGGTCTGCGCCCTTGCATTGATTACCGAGCACTGAAGAAGGGGACTATGCGATATACTTATCCTCTACCCCTCATTCCATCTGTGATCGAGACAATGCATGGGGCGCACTTCTTCACAAAATTAGATCTCCGGAATGTTCCATCAGTCTTCCAGTCCTTTGTGAACGAGGTGTTTCGGGACATGCTTGGTCACGGTGTAGTGGTCTACATCGATGACATGCTGGTGTATTACGCTATGCGCGCCGAGCATGTGTCCCTGGTTCGCAAAATGCTGGCCCGACTGTTGGAACATGACCTTCATGCCAAGGCAGAAAAGTGTCTTTTTTTCCAACAGTCCGTCTCCTTCCTTGGATACCGCATTACCACCTCAGGTGTGGAGATGGAGGGAGATTGCATTTCAGCCGTGCGTAATTGGCCGACTCCAACCATGGTTAAGGAGGTGCAGTGCTTTATTGGCTTTGCCAACTACTATCGGAGGTTTATCCGGGGCATTGGCGAAGTCACAGCTCCTATCACATCTCTGTTGAAGGGTGTGCCGTCCTGGCTCCGCTGGTCTGCTGAGGCTGACAGGGCCTTCAGTAACCTGAGGGTTCTGTTCACCTCTGCCCCAGTACTGGCCCATCCCGATCCATCACTACCGTTCGTAGTGGAGTTGGATGCGTCCGAGGTAGGGATAGGCGCTATCCTATCTCAAGGCTTGGGCACGCCACCCAAGCTCCGCCCCTGTGCCTTCTTCTCCAAGAAGCACAGCCCGGCGGAGCAGAACTATGACGCTGGTGATCGGGAGCTGTTGGCTGTTGTCCGAGCCCTGACCATGTGGAGGCACTGGCTCGAGGGGGCGAAACACCCTTTCCTCGTCTGGACGGACCACCGTAACCTGGAGTACATCTGGGCAGCGAGGAGGCTGAACCCTCGCCAGGCCAGGTGGGCTCTATTCTTCACCCGGTTAGATTTTACTCTATCAAACATTCCAGGTACGAAGAACGTGAAGGCAGATGCACTGTCACGGCTGTACGACACAGAGGAGCGGCCCATTGACAACACCCCCATACTCCCGGCCTCCTGTATTGTGGCGCCGGTAGTATGGGCGATGGACGCGGACATAGAGCGGGCGTTACGCACAGAGCGATCTCCACCTCAGTGTCCAGATGGGCTACAGTACGTGCCATCTCTTGTCCGTGACCTTCTGATCTATTGGGCACAGACGTCCCCCTCCTCTGGTCACCCGGGTATCGGTCGTACAGTGCGCTGCCTGACCGGAAAGTACTGGTGGCCTACCTTGGCTAAGGACGTGAGGGTGTATGTCTCCTCCTGCTCGGTGTGCGCCCAGAGTAATGCACCTAGGCACCTCCCAGCGGGTAAGTTACAGCTCTTAAAAGTTCTACAACGGCCATGGTCACACTTGTGTATTGATCCTTACTGATCTTCCCCTCTCTCAAGGTAACACCACCATCTTGGTCACTGTGGACCGCTTTGCCAAAGCCTGCCGCCTCCTTCCTCTGCCCGGTCTCCCCACAGCCCTGCAGACTGCGGAGGCCCTGTTTACACACGTCTTCCGGCACTACGGGGTGCCAGAGGACATAGTGTCTGAACGGGGTCCCCAGTTCACATCCAGGGTCTGGAAGGCGTTCATGGAACATCTGGGGGTCTTGGGGGTCAGCCTGACCTCTGGTTTTCACCCTGAGTCTAATGGGCAGGTGGAACGGGTAAATCAGGATGCTGCTCACGTCCACCTCCAACGCGCTGTGCGTCGCCAGAAGGCCAACGCAGACCGCCACCGCAGTGAGGCCCCGGTCTTTGTATCGGGTCTGGCTCACGACCCGGAATCTGCCCCGCCGCCTGCCCTGCCGGAAGCTGAGTCCGCGGTTTGTGGGGCCGTTCAAAGTCCTGAGGAGAATAAACGAGGTTACCTATAGGTTATTACTCCCTCCAGATTACCGTATTAACCCCTCGTTCCATGTGTCTCTCCTCAGGCCGGTGGTGGCTGGTCCGCTCCAGGAGTCTGAGGTGTGGGATGTCCCTCCGCCCCCTCTAGACATCGAGGGGGCCCCGGCGTACTCCGTCCGTTCCATCCTGGATTCGAGGTGTCGGGTGGGGGGCCTTCAGTACCTCGTGGATTGGGAGGGGTACGGTCCGGAGGAGCGGTGCTGGGTCCAGGTGAGGGATAACCTCGATCCCTCCCTGTTGCGGGATTTCCACCATCGCCATCCAGCTCGCCCTGCTTTGCGTCCTCCTGGTTGTCCCCGAGGCTGGTGTCGGCGCGCTGATGGAGCTGGGCGTCAAGGGGGGGTAATTAAGAAGTAAACACATGACGAAACAACAAAAGCAACGTAACGTGAAGTTCTAATGGGCTACACATAAACAAAACAAACCGGAAACAAGATCCCACAACTAAAGGTAGGCAAAATGGCTGCCTAAGTATGATCCACAATCAGAGACTATGATAGACAGCTGCCTCTGATTGGGAACCACACCCGGCCAACATAGAACTAGAAAACATAGAATTACACATAGATATTCACACCCTGACCAAACCAACTAGATATCTC